AACTTTTTCATCTATAGAAGAGCATATTGCAGTTCTACGGATCGAAAGCGGCAGGATATACAAGGAATACGAGCGTGGGCGATATTTATGGTAGTGGCATTCCATTTTTTTCCCACATATTGTCCAAACGGCTACGTGGGAGTAGACATGTGAGTTGTTGTGTAAAAATGAGCGATATATAGTTATACCAATTTTTATAAGAGAGCTTAATCACGAAGTTGATCTAGAAAGAGTTCATCAAGCAGAGATGCTCACAGGTTTTTCGTCGTGTCCGGCTTCCTGATGGCAATGATAATCACCAGAGCATCGTCTATGAGTGCTTCGTCTCTTTTGACTTTTTATTATAAAAGGTTAAGATGAAGCGTTAACCCATTATTAACAGTGCAATTTCCAAGTATTTAGAATTAAACGGATACTGCCGCTGTATTACATGGTGTTGTTCTCGGTACTTATACTTGTCGTAGTGAAGCTACCTGCGTTTCGCTCCATAAATTTTACAAGTTCTCGCAGGGCATTATTATTCATCGCAAACATCAAGTTCGAAACTGATCCAGTAAAGGAGTACGAGAGAATGGTTAATTTAAAATGTCGAAGCCCTTTACTCAAAAGCCTAGAATGTTTATGAGTTACAGTTGAAAAATGCTAATGATCTTCTTACGCACACTTGGTCTTTATGCGTCGAGATGCAGTGGTACTTGCTGGCTCCCCCTCTTTTTTTTCTGCAGAGCTTGCTACTACCAAAGACGATATTCTTCTTGGGTTGGTGGCGCTTAACATTTGTGTTGTAGTATCTTTATAAGAGTTTGTTCGTAGTTTCTTTTAAGGAATCGCATATGCTTCTATGCACTTCTATTTCATAGTTGACGATAACACCGCTTTCTATAATGTTCTCGCAAGGATGTGGCAGTTCTGTGCTGGCATAATTGCTTTTGTGCACAGCGATGATGTAAGTCTCTTTATAAGATGCAGATCAGTGAATTAGACAATTCTGGGCTAGTGTCAATTCGTAAACACCTAAACGTAAGCTTCAAAACAGTACAAAGCGCTCCTAGACTTCAATTTTTTTGAAGTTTGTTTGCAAAATTCTGTAACATTTAATACTAGCTGGCTTACCCGGCTCCGCCGTATGTTCCGAAAAAAAATTCCATTTCTTAACCGATCCGGACCAAACTTGGCACACCACTTCGGGCCCCGGCGGGTGTCATAGGCTACTTTTCGTCATCGATCGATATTGATTTTATCGATTTTTTGCAAAATTTGAGCTAGGGGCTGGAACCCCCACGGGGGTGATCAGCATGCTCGATTACCCCCCTGTGCCAACTCCCAGCCCTGTAGCTGAAATTTTGCAAAAAATCGATAAAATCAGAATCGGTCGATGACGAAAAGTAGCCTATGACACCCGCCGGGGCCCGAAGTGTATGTGTGCCAAGTTTGGTCCCGATCGGTTCAGAAATGGAATTTTCTATTCGGAACATACGTACATATAGACATACAGACAGACAGACAGACAAACAGACATTCAGCTTTATATATAAGATTGGGTTGGAAACTAAGTTTTGCAGCTCATTCAATAACTTGCTTCTCACTCAACATGGCGCACTCAAATTTTGCCACTATGTTGGTTACGACGTAAGCTACAAGCCCAGTTGCTGTTCTACCAAATTATGACGTCGCAGTGGCGTTACGGTAGGTATATCGTATAAATGGAAAAGCTATAAAATTTGACAGATTTAGCTGAAACCTTGCATAGGGAGGTTATCCGACATGCTGGTCACGAAAATGATACTGAAGTTTCGCGATAAGGGCTTTTTTGTAAGATTACTGCAGGTGTACGATATAGCGTCCCATCCTAAACAAGAAAAAAGGCGTTGATTCAACAAATGAATATGATATTCGTGTTTAGAAGGTCAAAGAACCTCAATATGCTAAGGCTCGGGGGATTTTGTAGTTCTGACTTCTAAGTCATTAACGGTTGTTCTCAGCAGTCTTGCGTACAGCAAGTCTTTCAAAATTGTGAGAGCGCCAAATCTCGACTTGCCCCTAAATTTCATTTCTTTTTTGGTGAGCCGAATAAGTCAACCTTTATTATCAATTAGCACACAATTCCGGATTGTTGCGCATGGTCTAGACTGCTAACAACTCCATTTTTTCTTAAAACCCCCAAAATTCTCACAATTTACTAGTTTTCGAGCAAGGCCTGAAACCTTTCTAATTCGTTTTGAAAATTTAAGCAGCTTCGGTTATGTGTATCCTACACTACGATCTACATACTGCCCAAGTTTGAGCGCTTCTTCCAAAAAGAGTTGAGATATGAAAGTAGTTGCAAAACTTAGTTTCCAGCCTAATACTAATGCGTTCTAAACTTTTTTTTCTTTGATTAACATGATAAAAAAATTTGGTTTGCTTAAGACTCAACAAACCAGAACAGGACGGATGTTCCACTAATTCAGGTAATAGCGTGTCTCAAGGCTGGGTTCATACTGATTCCCATGTTCCGGAACTGTTCCCGCACAGTTCTCGCACTGTGCTGGAACTGTTGCGGAACTGTGCTGCATGCGCTACAACCGCCCCGCACGTTTTTAAACGGCGGGAGTTAGAGAATGTTGACCGTTTTTAAGAATTCCTTCCAAATTCCTCTCATTTTGGCCTTATTCCTCTACCCCGCTTCTCCTAGTGATGAGAAAAGCTGTGAACTTGAAGTGGGGTTGAGGAATGGACGTTGTCCTTCTCTACTTATCCATGCATGAACATGCACATGAAAGAAAACAGCGTTCTCTCTTCAACTCCGCTCCAAGTTCGCAGCTTTTCTCATCATTAGAAGAAGCGGAGTAGAAGAGAGAACGGAGGAGCAACGATATGGAAAAAGGAAAAGGGCTGAGAATGAAACGAAATTCATCAGAAAAGAGCAAAGTTTCTATTTGCGCATTTTAGAACGTTTACATGTCCTAATTTGGGGCAGATGCCTGAGAAAATTACGCAGCGGCTTCCTGAAACAAAGGGTATAGGTTTGAGCAAAAAGAAAACGAAGCGAGAAACAAGCGCAAGAACAGACATTTTGTCGAAACGACGCAGAACAGAAAAACGCTCATTCTTCGACCCCGCTTTGAGTTCGGAGTTTTTGACCAAAAAAGGAAGCGGGGTAGGGGAATAAGGCCAATATGAGAGGAATCTGGAAGAAAAACCGTTGAAAACGGTCACGATTCTCCAACTCCCGCCGTTCAAAGCGTGCGGGGCGGTTCCAGCGCATGCAGCACAGTTCCGCAACAGTTTCATTACAATGCGGGAACTGTGCGGACAGTTCCAGAACATGGGAATCAGTATGAGCCCAGCCTAAGAGGTGACTTGTGACTGCAAGCACCCAAGGAAAATCCGCGTGATAAGTTCGATCTGACAAATGCAAACAAGTTAATAGATGATAGAGAAATGACTTTGAGCGCAATCACATTGTGAAACATCATGGTTCTTGCTTTGTATATTAATGGACGACTAGATATCGCAAAGGATCTTACACTGGGTCCTCTATTTTGCTCGCGCAGCTGCTAGACACCAAAAAAAGCGTGTACAACAGCGATGAAACTTCTAAGACAATCTCACGAAAATGAGAAGGCTCTTGTTGCTAGTTTTCCAGCCATCTCGCCCATATTGTCGAGAGCAAGATGCCATACTCATTATAAATTCAACAACCTCGTTTTCGATAAATAGTGACACTATGCATCAGACGTCCACTACAAATGAAAAGCTTAGGTCAGCTGCATCATACATCGTGTCTTTTCAATATACGTAGCAGCTTCAAACATCTTTATCGAAGATCTCGAAAACACGACTCTTGTTTTTGTAGGTCAAAATGTCATCTCCTAGAGCAATAGTACGCGAACATCTCTTTAGTAACTTTAGAGGGTATGTTATTATTACACAACGGGACATTCACTCCGTGTACATGCTTGTTTCAAATTCTGATGAACGTAATGCATGTCAAATATTACTAGGCAGACGAGAGCAGCTGAAGAAGCGGGTGAACGTGGTAATTGCAAAAAAACATTTTGCTCCCAAAAATTATGAATCGTTTATCGTTTGCCTCCCTGCGAGATTCCCAAAATATTATGTCATTTCTCCATTTCTCGCACTCTTAGCTTCTGCTCTTCAATCCTCCTAGTGGCTCGGCAACTCTTGACGTGGAATTTTTTTGCTTACCTGAGGTTATCCGCTATGCGCTGAATGAAAGAAAAATCCACTTTGTAGAACGCGAGAATGGTGATAAATATTTAAGCCTTCCATTGTAAACTTGGAGGAGTGGTTTTCCTGCCAAGACTGAAGGCGCAGACTCGTTGCAGAACCCTTACGATTATAGCATTGCGCATACAGCCCATGACGTAGCGAGGGGAATCGCGAGCCATCCGAGCCCGTTTAAGAATGGCTTGGTTTGTGAGCAGTTTTCTCGGCAGGGTGAGGATGTCGGGCGACCGGCTTGATCTGTTTTCATGTTTGGAGGGATCGGGGGGGGGGGGGGGTGGTAAGCAGCCAAGACCTCCAAATCTCAACACGATCAGTTTTGCCGAGCCACTACCTTTTAGTACGTCTACATGAGAAACAAAAAGGAGCGAAAGGCGGTCGATTAAATGCGCGAGTGGTACCTAAAGGGATCTTGCTGAAGGACAAATGCTTAATGTTTTCGTGGACATCTTAGGATCGTGCAGAAGTGAAGTTAATACGCTTACGCGTGTTACAGATTTTGCGCTCCAGGGGTTCCTTGATATATTAACCTGCCTGCTTTGCTCAGATACCCGAGCTTGTCTGATCAGCAGGCTCTGGCCGAACAAAAGCGTGCTTGAGCCCTTGCGATGATGCGCCCTTGTGATGCATCGAATCAATCACGAATTCGCACTATTTGATGTGGGTAAATATCACCTCATAGCCCTAAATGGAAATGTTGAATCTCATAGGTAGTGGATGAAACCTCAAGTTTTCTACCACACACCATAATATCTCTAATATCTTTGCAAATGCAGGATAATTGTATCAATGAAAACAGTTATATGGGTCATATTGATCGCAAGATCAACCTAGAATCATTTACAAGAGTAGCTGGCGGCTATTAAGCAGAATGTTGTAGAAGACCTGCACAATACAGACGTATCAGGTGACCGAGAGTGAGGATAGCTTGCAAGAGAAAGGTGAAGAACCTTTGATGCTGATGTCAACCTATGAGAAAGCGTTTAGGAAAATTGGGCTGCACTGACGTCATTTATTGGTTGATATTCGTCCTCGCCATAATGGTACCATTTGTATGGATACCGCTACCAAAGCGATTCCTTCGTATAGAAACAACGATCATGACAGCGATATTAATTAGACTAGGCAAACGTCACCAGGTCGGATCCGAGGTGCTCGTAAAACTTTAGCAAGGATGTTTTTTCAGATAGCTATGCTTATTAGACAGGAGGTTGTGTACGTCGGGGAGATATCATATGCTCTTTATCTCATACACTGGCCTGTTTTCGTTGTAATGAATTACTGGTATTCCGAGGATCCACTATGTAAGTCGATATTTCAAAGTATACCCAGTATTTAGCGGTTTCAGTAGTTCGTAGGCCAAGTTTTGGCTTGAATTTCTAGTCTTTCTTGAAGAGGGGTTTTATGATAGCGACCTTAACTAGGCATCAATATTCATATAGAACGCTCTTGTCTACAAGACATATATTCAGTGGCAAGAGAGGCTGTCTACCTTTCGCATTTACGTAAATAAAGATACTGAATTTTGATGATGCACTAGCTTTAACATCACATTTTTATGGCTTAGGCTCAACCGTGAGTGTAATCACTTCCATCCTCTTCGCTTTGTTGACGTACCGCTTCTACGAAACAAATTATCAGCGGTGGTCACGTACTTCTATCTGCCTATTGATAGCCACGCTCTTCCTTGCCTGCGGATACCTAAGCTCGCTGCCAACAGAGCTCTTCAAGACGGCAAAGGTTGACTACAATGGCCTTAAGATAGAAGACGCCGCATGGAATTTGAGTACGCATTTTTGGTTCCTATAGTGTTCACCGCTTGCTCTAACCGTTGCTCTCCTTAGCTTTGATGCGTCAACTGAATGCTGCAGAAACTCCAGGTGGCCCGCATCTGTGGCATAAGGACTGCACGTATAGCGCAAGATTTTTGAATATATCATTTGCACCATTTGGATTGTGTACAATGAAGGTAAACAGTGACTTAAGTTCTTATCTATTTTTCCTTTCATTCGTTCGCAATCGCAGCAAAGTCGCACAGTCTTCATTATCACTTGTCAACACCACATTTGAGATGGTAGCCGTGATGCAAGCTGAAGCTTGTAATAATTTTCAGAAACCCTTCAAGTTTTCTGCAGCTTACGTTCTGACCGTCTCTTGAAAGTCGCATTCAGATTTTGCCCCAAGCTCTTCTTTCAAGCAATTCCACAACATTTATAGAGCATTTCACGTTCAGCATGAGTCGTTGAAGTACACCTTTGCAGGGTCACGAAATGCTCTCGATTTTAGTAGTCGTCGTTGACCATGACTTGATAGATAGTGATATCTTATCCTGCGGATCTTCTTTTACCTCTTAAATCAATATGGCTGGAAGGAAGCGGTAGTTTTGAACTAAAGGGAGGAAATAACTATGGTTGTTGCAAAAATAAAGTCCATTTTTCTAGGCCTACTCTCTAAGCAACTTTTTTCCTTCAAAATTTCTAAAATTTCTAAATTCTATTTCTAAATTTCTTTTTAAAATTTGTCCTGATTAAGGCAATCGCCGAAGCTTTGCTCATTTTTGTATGCTTGCGGTTAGAACATTTTGCCTACAATTTTTGCAGATAAACTTAGCTCTTCAATTACAGAATTTCAAAATTTCATAGTTTGGGGTGTCTGGCCTACCACAAATACGCTCAAAAAAGTAAGCAATTTTTTACTTCTACCTTTTCTTTCCCCACAGTGGTCGGCCGCACCAACGTGGCGTGGGGGTGGCACCTGTCTCGCACTGCGACGCGCATCCAAGTGTAAAAAAACTGTAAAAAACTGATGCAAATTTGTAAATAGAAAAATTCTAAAATTTTTCAAAAAGTCAAGTAAGTGAAACCACGCGCCTATACTCGAAAAAAAAAACTTTCCCCTTTCCCCCCATCCTGAATGTAATATTTGGGAGTCATTGCCACGTACAAGTATTGCCAGGTAAGCCTATCACAAAAATTATTAGGTTAAGTTTTGAGACACTCTAATTTCTTCCGGCGATAAGTCATGCAGTTCACATTTTCAAAAGGCTTCAGGGCACCATTCGATAGAGCAAAGCAAGTCCTACAGGAAGGTCTGCGAAAGTTCGCCCAAACTTTGACACACTTCAAGTTTACATCCAAAATGTGAATCATACCGAAGGCTCAGAAAATCATGAAAAATTCAAATCTTCGTTTAAAAAAGTCCTACGAGTCTCCAACTTGCTCACGAAAATTCCACACTATATCAGACACTCACATGTACCTTGCCAGAATTTCTTCCTCATTAGAGATCGAGAAAACGAAAATTTCCAAGTTTTTACAAAGTAAGTTGTTTTCACTTATGAATTGCATACTACAATCACTTAGAAGTGTAACTGTAGATTTTCAGTTCTCCACAGGCCCTAGTTTTTGAGAAATATTGATTTCAGCTCTCCTCACTCGGGTGTTCCATTCTAAAATCAACATATCTTGAAAAGTAAGGAGTGTGAGGTACATAAGTGGAAACAGCTTAGCTTCGTTTTTGTAAAAACTTCAAAATTTTCGTTTTCTCAATTTTTCAATGAGGAAAAAATCTTGGAATGGCATATGTGCATGTTTGATGTATTGTGCAATTTTTGTGAGCAAGTTGGAGATTATAGGATTTTTCTGAACAAAGATATAAATTTTTTGCGACTTCCTGAGCCTTCAGTACGACTCAGATTTTGGATGCAAACTCATACTGGGTCGAAGCTGGTGCGAACTTTTGCAGATCATCCTGTAGGGCTTGCTTTGCTCCACCAAATGGTGCCCTGAACCCTTATTGAAAATGTGAACTGCATGACTTATCGCCGGAAGTATTATATTTAGAGTGTCTCAAGACTTATGTTACAAACTAATATACTGCAAACTGCAGCAGTGACGATAGCTAGCTAATATGACACCCCCCCCCCGAAGTGTATGTGTGCTAAGTTTGGTTCAGATCGGTTCAGAAATAAAAATTTCTGTTCTGCACATATGTGACGGACGAACAGAGCAGCAAGCGGCGCTTGTGCCCGACGTTTTGCCTGTTCGCTATCGGAAAATAGGGTATCCATAACCTCAATTACCTCAAGAGCGCCGAATAAAATGGCGACGACTCGGCTTTTCTACTGCGTACAGACAGACATGCAGACAGACAGACAGACATTCAACTTTATATATAAGATGATACAGTACAATACCGCTACCGATACCGAAAATCGTATTTGGGAAAAAGCGAAAGGTATATTGTTAATATCCCTGAACACACACGATCGGGGTGCAAAAGCACGATCATGCACGAACAAGCCATCTCCAAACATTCAGATTTCTTTCCACTGAATTAATTCAGCTACTTCGCTCACAATGCACACATAATGATAGGACCTCGAGTTTGTATCGAACGATATCCTTGGACTCAGATTACATCTATTCAGAAGTGAGATATGGCGATGCGACGCGGATTCTGGCGCACTGTAGCGCACTATGGTGCAATCCGCTGCTCTTCGGCGCACTCCGCTGCTCTTCAGCGCACTGTAGCGCACTGTGGCGTACTCTAGTAGAGTGCGGAACTTTTTTGACGCATTATGAGCGGTATTGTATACACATTATACACTGACTTCCATCAAGCTTCGTTGTTTGTTTTCGCACTAAAGTAATAGCCTAATTCTGGCCCAGTCAATCCCCAGTCTGATTGAGTGCCTTTGACAATGATTCAAATTATTCTCAAATGATTTGCAAGCCTGATGGTGGTGTACTCGAAAGAATTGCGCGAGAAACTCACGAAGCATTTGCTGCGAATTGCATGAACGAAAAAGAGTGTGGCAGGATTTGAGTGAAGCTATCTAGAGGGTCTAAAGAGATGAATGTTACTGCAGAATTGCTTTGGAGAACGCATTTATACAAAAAGCAGAACTTCCAAGGGCAGCCAAAAGAATTCAGTTTGATTGAAAAGGTGCCCAAAAAAATTGGCTCAATGCTCTATGCACGATCTTCCGTTATTAGCATTATTTTTGAAATTCTGCCTCCATCAAAATCTGTATAGCATACATTTGGCAGCTTGCTGGGTTGCTGAGGCTGCAGATCAAAGTCGCGTAGTTCCAGGAGCGGAGTTTGTTAATTATAGAGCAAATCCTGATTCTAGAGCACAGTGGTCTCCCTGTATTCTTGACCGCAGATTTTGCATGCAACACATAGATGGATTGCGTGAATCGAAGCAATCAACATCTGTGGCACTAATCACCTGCTGGAGCACCACATCATAGAGTCTGATATGATGACGTCAATTATGTCTCCAGGAACAGAGGTTGCAGTCAAAGACGCTGGAAGCTTGTTGGATATCTCGACGAAATAAACAGAAATGAGTGCATTGCCATAAACAATAAAAACATTGCCATAAACTCACGCCTTTTTTGGAGTTATGCGGACCTACTACCTCAGCAAACCCAGAAATCCACTTCACTAGTCATTCAATATAAGTCCATCAGCGACTTACACTCGTCCAAGGTGGGCTGTTTATCCTAGACATCGTCTTAATTTCAATCTCATGACTCTTCTGCACTTGATAGACATTTGGAAGGGTAAATCTTTGTTCCTCTTAACAGGCATTGACGAGGGTGAGCTGGCGAACGTTAGCCAAACAAAGGTTATACTTGTCTCGGTAAAGGCTAAATCACCTCAAGGAACGATTTCTGCATATATGTACCATTCAGTTAGCAGGGCTGGCACCAACTGGGCTGCTTCACTTTTTCGAACTATTGTTGAACGAGTGTTTGCGTGCCTCAGTCCTGAGAGCATCAGTTCCGAGCAGTAGTTTGTGTTTTTCCTTTTTTTGAGAAATCGAGATTTGCGTAAATTCTGAGGCATTATTCCTTCAAAAGCTTCTTGTACAAAATAAGAGTCCTCGGCTTGATTTGTAAGGTGTAAACAGTACGTCAAGTCAAAGTTAAATCTTTCAAAGTTGTTAGAAATTTGTTTGCAGTATGTCCACGCTAATTGAAACATTTTACCATTCTAATAGTTTCCATGTATTTATTCTATGTAAGAGAAAGTTTTAAGAGTGCTGTTGTTCTTTTTCTACTCTACGTATACTTATTACCGCTCATCTATCAATGCAAACGAGATTTGCATCCAATGTTTATTTTGAGGTATTAATGGAAAAGGGCGTACACTACGAAGACCGTCAAGGCTGAGATTGGTCGACATCGTGATATTCGTAAACGTCGTGAGTTGTTCGAATGAATCGATGCTTACGGCCAAACTAGCATTGAGGACTCCTACACCGCCGACTGCTTGCTGTCGCATGTTTCTAGGAACAGTTCTTCTCCATTGTCAAACGTGGCGTTCAACTGGTGGAGTCTCCTTGTCTTGGTCAGTCCAATGAGTCGTACTTGATTTTCTTTGCTTACATCAAGAGATTTTCGATGAATGCCTCTGATGTGAGCGTCCTTGTGTTGCAAGTACAGATCGTCATCATTGCCCGTCTCGTTTTCGGCAGCCTAGATCGCGCTTCATAGTGTACGGCCCAACACCAAGCTACGACGAAGACGAAGTCGGGGCCTTTTACATGGACTTGGAGAAGTTACTACTACTGGAAAGAGTTACTAGACTACTGAAAAGGGCACATTTTCCAAAGGTCGTCGTCGGTGACAAAGATCGGAGCAAGAAAGTCGCCTGCAGAGCTTTACATCGGGACCCATGGACTAGTGAAACGAAGGGAGAGGAGAGTTCGAGCTCATCATGACGGCGGAGACGAAACTCGCAATCTCGCAAAAGCTCCTTCCCGACACTGGGCCTGGAATTACCCAGTGGAGAGTACCATAACGAGATTGATCACATCATCGTCAATAGAAGGTATTGCCTGACAAATGTCGCTGTTGTTCCGAAATTTTACACGAGATCGGACCATCGTACATCGGACCATCTATTGGATCAGTTCTCCCTCCAGAGTTTCGACATGCTATCATGTCAATGAAAAGCCGTACAGCAGCCGGTCCCAACAGGATCGGAACTTCTGAAGAATCGCTCACCAGTTCTTATTAGAAGTCTTGCGAGGTCTTCTGCGGTACCTGGCGTAGGGCACGATCAGGGCCCGGCATAGATTGTCTGGAAGCAGGCTGAACTCCGTTTTTGGAGCAAAAAGCAAACGAGATATCGTTTTTGACGAGCCCAGGCCCAGCACCAAGAGTAAGCGCCATTTAGTCGAACACAAGCTTTTCGGACAGGTTATCACACGATTTACATGCTCTATCGTGTATGGCGGAAAGTGCGCGCGATTCAAAAGCAAGGCTAATATAAACGAATTGCTTGTTTACAACGCACACAGAATCACATAACACCAAAACTGAACTGTATACATAGAAAATTATTTGCCAAAGGATTACGCGAAAAGGTTTGAAAACTTATGTGAAGTAATACGCTAAAAGATTGAAATCGGATGGGCCGGGCACGTCAAGCGGACGACAGTCGGTGAACCAAAGCTTAACGGATTGGACACCGGTGGACGTCAAACACCGAAAAGGAAAACGGCCGAAAACCTTCAAAGAATTCCTGCAGAGCAATACTCGTGTACCTGGTGCGACGAAAAGATTGGTCAACGATCGCTTGCGACAGGGACGAATGAAGCGTCACTGGATCCCGCTCGTGTCAAGCGAGAATCAACGGGGATACAGGTGATACAGGTGAATAAAAAGGTTGCGTGTGTTTTATTCTTGCATAGGTTTCTTTCAAAGTAAACCTAGAGTTTTACACTTTCAATTCTCTCCTATGTGTGCGTATATGCTCTACTGCTCATGAGTGAGATGAGAGGCACCAAGAAGAGCGCGCGTTGCGGGTGCGCCGCGGAGTTACCTATGGGAAACTGGCCGGGGTCTACATTATAGCTGAAACACCTATAGATTATCAAGACGCTCATCGACAGTGTCAATAGAAAACACACTGATTTTCAGGAATTACAAGTAAGCAAATGAGTACATGTCAATAATAACAATAGCTGGCAATTGTCGCAACCCCGCGTGCCCGGGCCTCGATAAACGGTATGAAGATAGCGCCGCCCCGCTAGCAGACTAGCTGACGCAGACGGTACATTTGTAGCATCACATGCTCAAAGGAAGTTTTCTCTATCAATACTTTGTGCTAGTTTCTGATCTTTTTAGGAAGTAAACAATCAGCAATGACATCAAACATGCTCTAGAAATCTAAAGCTTAATTCGACATGTTGAGTATGTAAGCCCCTATGACTGTTGTTGGAAATGAAAAACAATTAAAAGAAATGAAGTCTTTTCTCAGCGTTCTGCCAGCGCGGGCGCCCTGATCTGAGCTAGCTAGCTAGCAAGCAGTTGATAGCAGAATGAAATGTAGAATGCATTTATTATATGACCTCATCGGAAATAGTAATACTCTAATTAAGAGTATCATTGACGGAAAGACTACCTGTGATCTCACCCTCATACAGCTGATAGCATTATTCTAGCAATTACATGTTTTATTAGGTTGTCCCATAAGTCTTTTCATATCTGACTTTTCGCCAGCATAATTCTCACCCTTATACAACTGATAGCAATTCTAGTGTTTTACTTGTTTCTACAGAGTTCTGTATTTTTGAGTTGCAACAACGTAAATGGATCTTCTTTAGAAAGGAAACGGTACAGTGGATATGCTGGTTGCAGGAAACAGCTTTGCTTGCAATCAGGGCGATCTCATTTACAACGCATACAAAGCGTATGCAAGAAACTTTCACATATTTTGTGTGACGGGTACATCAGCAACAATGATTATTTCTGAGAAAAATTGCATGATAGACGATATTTGCAGGGTGTGAATTGTTTTCTCCCATATGCCAAATTTCCTTCAACTTTACGCAAATAGTTGAGGAACTGAAGCCAGATGTCGTATTCTTGATTGAAAGGTTAGTTCGTCACTTTTTGACCGAAAACCACAAAAGCACCACTATATTATTAGAGCATTTCTTATGAAAGCTCCGTTCAATGTAAAGCAACCAGTTGACAGAGATAAGAATTTTGGTCTTTATATGAAGCTACTGAGATATCTAGAGAAAAAAACGAAGAAGGTGAGAAGCGTTTGCATTCTTAGATTTATAAAAATAGCCGTTGCTGAATTTAGATATATATCCTGCAAGCTCTACCGAGCTGTGTAGTCTATTGCTCCGCTAAAGCTATGCTGTATTTGAAAAATGGGAAAGCTTTGAGTACAATCAAAGTAAGTTAAAAACAATGAATTCGCGAATGTATGCCCAATGCTGTGCTCATCCAGATTGCTTCAGTTATCAAAGTACAGTTGAACGAGCTTTGCTCCCCTTTACTGTTTCCCTTCCTTTATCTCTATGTATGTGTGTGTGTGAAAACGAAGAGCTAACGTGGAGTTTTTGGAATCAGTTGAAGTAGAACATCGGTACATGCGAAAGTGTGGTATATGGAGCTCAAACAACTGTAGCAAACATACATCTTTTTTACATATATAACTAACGGTTTTACGTAACTCAGCTCTAATTCTATTATTATAAAGCGTTAAAGCAGTCTGTGTATGCATTCATGCATGTATATATATGGTGTGTGTGTGTGTGTGTGTGTGTGTGTGTGTGTGTGTGTGTGTGTGTGTGTGTGTGTGTGTGTGTGTGTGTGTGTGTGTGTGTGTGTGTGAAAAAATTGTACCTTAAAGCTCTGTACGCCATAAGTCAGAATTGATTAATAATTCTAGTTAGTGGGGCAGGGAAACGAAAGCCGCCAGTTTGGGCCGTCTCCGCGGACTGCTGGTCCTGGGACGACATGCAACGACACTGCGAAAGGACCAGTTGGCCGCGAAAGGCGGCTTAAACTGGCGGCTTTCGTTCCCCTACCCACTTATGTGTATTGACACTAATTGTATGGAAAAAGTTGGTGTTCAAGAATTGGCAATAAGTATGATTACTTCAACAATGGAAGTCAATATATTAATCTTATACTTTTAGGATGGTCTTGTAGTAAGGGATGAGTACTTTGCTCGACATCGAATTTGGGAACTCAGCAAAAGGTAATCTTGCCAACCCATCAATGTTTTTTCGTGTAAATGTTTTAAAAAGTCTTTTCAGATGCAAAAAGTGTGAGATAGTTGATTACATGCCAATGCTTGTTGATAAGAAGGGACAATATCTTGGTTACAACCCTATCACGAATCTCATGTATCTTGATCAAGTAAATCACTTCAACAGATTTGGCAAACAAATTATACAGCCCATCTTTGAGAAGTTGGCTAGGCAGTTTGTCATACCTTAGGATAATAGAGAACATCGTAATCTGTAATGCTTAGCTATGGAATTTTCTTCACATTCCTTTCATTTATAGGAAGATATCAGTGGTGTACCCAGAATTTCCGCTCGGTGGGGGAAGGGAAATTTTTTTCTGATTTTTGGTATGATTCTCAAAATTTTTGCGAACCCCTAACCCCAAAATTCCAGAAAAAGGGGGCGTGGCTGGCTAAAGAAATTTTTATGAGGCTAAACGGATTTTTTCTCAACTCAAAAAATTATACTAATTACTTACAAGTATAAACTAATCACCAGCACCTTTTTGTAACTCATGTAAGTCACTTTCAAAAACTCGCGACCCATTCTCGGGGGGGGGGGGGGAAGGAGGGGGGTACGCCTCTGGGAGATATCTAGTGCGTTAATGTTACTTGATGGACACTACTCATTTAGCGTGCATGGTTACATGGTAACTAACCAACAGAATAAATAATGTCATCTTGATCTCTGTTATCTTTGAGCATGTTAAGCAACTAAAAACAACACTTGTAACTTTGGTCAAAAAGGCAACCCCGACTTCGTACTTTCCATCAAAGTTGCGTGGAGAATCATGTTTTAAAACAGTAGGTTAAGGCGTTGTCAACGAGTCTACCGATGTTAGACGCGAGTCGCACGCAGAAATTAAACGAAGTTGCCTGCCATTGAGCGAGTTGACCAAGGAAGAGGTAGCAGGCAATACGAGGAACAAAGGAGCCATTGAAGACACTTCCATGACGTTCATAGCGATCCTCTATCTCTGCGTGCATTGACTCCCTTTATGCAGTGACAAATTATACAGGAAGGTTTGCCAACGAAGGCTGAAGTACTTTGTTTGAGCTATATTTAATCAATGGCTGCCAGCCAACAATATATATTCATGTGTTTTGCAATCTAGACCAGTACTGATTCGGTATGGGTCTGCCGTTCTCCCAAAAAAGCGCTGGCAGCATTACAAACACTCAGACAATCGCCGGGGGCAGGCGGGCACCGGAAAAATAGATTGCTGATCTCTCGCACTCCGCTCGCGGATTTTTTGGAAAGCAATCAGGACTTTTCGGACAACCGCTTGCTGAGTTCTCGATTCCTCAGAGATTCAGCAATATATCTGCAAAAGATAAGAGCGAAAAAAATTCAACAGGCGGTCTCTCAAAAATCCGCTGACTCAGCGAGCGGTCTTCCGAAAAGTCCAGATTGCTTTGCAAAAAATCCGCGAGCGGGGTGCGAGAAATCAGCAATCTATTTTTTCCGGTGCCCGCCTGCCCCCAGCGATTGTCTGAGCAGCTGAGACCTTGGGATGCTGAAATCAAGGAAGTATTTCCACAATGGAACAGGCCTTAAAGGCAGCGTCCAGGCAAGATCCATCCACCCAGATTAGCACATAGTTGTAAAGAGGGGCCCATGAGTATCCGATCTGCGTTGGTCCAATCCTTTGACGTGCCCTCTAAAAGGAGATACGGGCTGTGATACGTATCACAGGCCGCTCCTTCGTATCACAAACCACCCCTGAGGACGAGTGCTTACGCAGGTGTGCAGTTGCATTGCAGTTGCATTGCAGTTGCCCTGCACATGCAATGCAACTGCATCTGTGCAGTTGCAGCTCCTCCCGCTGGCATGACGATGGGGACGAGCAATTCGAAACTCGTCCGCTCTTTGAAGAGAGGGTTCCCAAGAACCGGGTTTTTTGGGAGTTTTGAACAATATGGGCTTTACAACTGTAATCAGGGCCACAGAAAGGCCCCAGAATGGCAGAAACATGAGAGGCGAAATTTTGCCCGGACGCTGCCTTTAATTATGAGGTTGACGCATAATTCCTGCACCAAATTGGGTACAGATCGCAATAATCTGGAATAATCCTATATCCCAAATAGGACTCGATACATCATTAGATAGAGCAAACCTAGCTCTACAAGATAATGTTTAAAGATTTGCAGCAGCTTTGATCTAAACAAAGATTGAAGCGAAAAACGAAAAAGATTCAAGCGCCCCAAAAACCAAGAAAATATTGGAAGTCCGTTCAGAAAAATCCTTCAAAATTCTTAATATGCTCATGCATTGTCATTTCGTAAAGACAATTCTCTATGCAGTTGCTGTATTATTCTCTTAGCCAGAAACTGGGAAAACGAAGTTTTTCATGTTTTTTCCAAAACAATGCTGAGATGCTCTAGCACTGACTTTTGTATACTACAGGACCTTAGAGGTGTGAGTGTGACTTTTTCAGCTTCTTACAGCAGCTGGTTTACGAGAAATGTCGAATTTTTAGCAACTAGGCAAGAAAAATTCGGACAAGGAGAGCTAGATTCGTCATTTGTCGTGAACTAGAAGTTCTAGAAGGCTGAAAATGTGAAGTTTCATTGCTAACGGCATGTACTTACAAGTGGTAGCGCTAGAACATCTCAGCATTAGTTTGGCAAAAACATGAAAAACTTCGTTTTTTCATCGTCTAGCTGAGAAGAAAAATACAGCCACCGCATAGGTGAATGTCTTACGTGGAACGTCTACGCGTGAGCAAGAAAGAAATTTTGTAGGAGCTTTTTGAACAAAGTTACAATTTTGTTTCGATTGGTCTTAAGGTTTTCGAACGCACGGTTTTTTTCAGTTTTCGGCTCAAAACTTCGCTTGGATTAAAGCTGGTGCAGATATTTGAGCACTATCTTGTAGAGCTAGGTTTGCTCTATTTAACGATAGAATCCTATTTGGGATAGAGGATTATTTCAGACTAGCTGGCTTACCCGGCTCCGCCGTATCCGGACCAAACTTGGCACAAATACACTTCGGGCCCCGGCGGGTGTCACAGTCCACTTTTCGTTATCGATCGATGTCGATTTTACCGATTTTTATCGATTTTTTTGCAGACTTCACCTACAGGGCTAGGAGTTGGCACAGGGGGGAAGTGAGCATGGGGATTCCGAATACAATATTAGTTTTCAGAATTATCGATTACTTTTATTGATTATCGATTTTTTGTAAATTTTGACATGCGAGGCTGGGATTTTGCACAGGGGGGTAATCGAGCATGCTGATTACGAACACAATATTAGTTTTCAGGATCGTCCATTACTTTTATCGATTTTATCGACTTTTTTTGTAAAGTTTGACCTGCGGGGCTGGGAGTTTGCACAGGGGGGTAATCGAGCATGCAGATTACGAATACAATATTAGTTTTCAAGATCGTCCATTACTTTTATCGATTTTATCGATTTTTTTAAAATTTGAGCTAGGGGGCTGGAATTTAGCAGGGGGGTGTAATCGAGCATGCTGATCACCCCCCTTGGGGGTGATCAGCATGCTCGATTACCCCCCTGTGCCAACTCCCAGCCCCCTAGCTCAAACTTTGCGAAAAAATCGATAAAATCGATAAAAGTAATGGACGATCCTGAAAACTAATATTGTGTTCGTAATCAGCATGCTCGATTACCCCCTGTGCAAAATCCCAGCCTCGCATGTCAAAATTTACAAAAAAATCGATAAAATCGATAAAAGTAATCGATAATCCTGAAAACCAATATTGTATTCGGAATCCCCATGCTCGATTACCCCTCTGTGCCAACTCCCAGCCCCGTAGGTGAACTCAGCAAAAAAATCGATAAAAATCGATAAAATCGATATCGATCGATGACGAAAAGTAGCCTATGACACCCGCCGGGGCCCGTAGCGTATGTGTGCCAAGTTTGGTCCGGATCGGTTCAGAAATGGAATTTTCTATTCGGAACATACGTACAGACATACAGACATACAGACAGACAGACAGACAAACAGACATTCAGCTTTATATATAAGACTAGCGACCCTATGGGTCGCTAGCAAGTGGGTTGGGGCAGATACGTTGATACATACGTTCGGGAGCCATTGTAAATAGGTTTGAACTCATTTCATTTTCTGAACGACTCGCGAGTTATAAATAATATTAGTTTGACTAATAAATAAGTTCGGTTACTTGCAAATTCGAAATTCTCTGACAATTCAGAAGCAGCTATTCCGTTAAGGTTTATTGCGAAGAGGTAGCTTCTTCTACTCTTCTTCTACTCTTACATATCATTTAGTCAAAAAATTTTATCATCGAAAAATGACAGTTATGCCCTTATATGGTCCGACCTTTAAAAAATAGCTTTTCTGAATTTTCAAGTTTGGTTCTTAGCCAATAGTCAGTGCACGGATGAATTATATGGCGGTGTGATCTGCTCTGCGGCCGAAAATGGGAGAATTGTCAGGCATTTGCGCGTGGAAGCATTCAAGATCGTTTGGATCTGACCATCTATGGTCGTAGGAGTTGTTGGAAATTTAGAATTTGGTGTGTGAATGGCAGTTGTGCATTTTACACTCAACTTCGACTCGTTTTCGGAGCGTTACTTTCCGAACATCGGATGAAAAATTGTGACGATCTCACTTTCCTCACAATTTCATTGTCAAAATATTGGGTGGCGCTCAAATAGAGTAGACCATCCAACTCCCCTTGATTTGCGCTTTCCAGTGGTATCATACATTGTCAGATAAATCAAAGACCGAACTTACTTTTTAGACAAACTGATAGTACAAACAAGATATTACTAAGACTTACTATTTCGCTCTGAAAGAGCAAGCTTTCAATAGTGGGAAATCGTCTACATTCCTTTCACTACCATCCTCGCAGAAATCCTATTCCCATAACCTCCCAATTCCTAGATCTAACTGGAAATCAGCAAAGATATCATCTCTAATAAAGGACTGCTGCTTTAGATCAAAGCCAAATTGATTTTATGGACATTGCTATACCTTGAAAAGCGTTAAGCTTGTCCTTTGAAAGAGAAAACCAAAACTACAGATACAGTGATATTACCCCAGCGGGACCACTTACGCCCTAATCTTTTTTTGAGGACAAAAATAGAGAATTTTTAGAGTGTAATATCTCAAAAGCACCCTTCCGCAAAGTTTTACAAGGCTAGGAACTGTTAAGAAAAAGTGTTCTGTCGCATAAAGTCCTTAGCTTTTTCGTGGAGCGAGACCTCTATGGTCTTT